TGTCAAATTTTCGGATTTTCCTCTTTTTCTTTGCGAGCAAACCGGCAACAGGTACCCAATTTTCGGATTTTCCTCAGTTTTGACAAAGGCATTCAAGGCATTCAAGATTTTCCTCGGTTTGACACAACAATCGCCAAATCATGACTGAGACTTATTTCTTAAACTAGAACCGACACCCTAAATCTCCCCCCCCCCACCACCCACCCACCCACACCCAAAAGAAAGAAGGTTGAATGACACTGATGCCAACTTCAAGTTGTCGGAAAGAGCAATATGCATATCACTTGTGAAGGAGAAAAATGCTACGCGACCTCGGGGATAGCAAAGAGTGGAGAAATCTCAAGTGACAGGCAAACTGAAAAAAACATGTTCGACACATTTCTTGGTTTCTGGAGAGGACATGATGGAAGTCCAGAGAATGTCTGAAGCACATCATCAGCTTCCGCAGAAGTCGATCGTCAGTAGGAGCCCCCTGCTTCGTTCCTCCTCCTCCGGTCTCATCATGACGATCTTCTTATTCGGGAAAACCCGTCCTGTTTCACGCGGGGGTCTCCAACTTCTTCCCCCATGCCCCTTAACACCACATATTCTGCGATACTCCCCTGTGGACACCCCACCTTACTTTTATTGTTCCCGCGCACCCCCGATCATAACAGTTACTCCCCGACATGTTATCACGACTGTGTTTACCCATGATGGGATGGAGCAGGAGCATGCACAAATTCAACATGATAAGGAGTTCTGTTGGGGGGGATATGAGGTAGTAGCTGCTAAGCTACGTCGATAAATTGGCAGTACAACCCTTGTGCGGTTGCACCATCATGAAAAAAACACCTATCTAATCAGAACTCGTTACGAGCGCGCAAGCCAAAGCCGACTCAACTTGAATACGGCGAGAAAAAAAGCGGGAACGTAAAGGGACTGCCTCGCTTCGCGTAATCAATGGTTTCCCTCGCTATGCACAACTAAAGCTTTCTACCTTCTATCACTGAGCAGGGCCGCTACTGAAAAACGGCAGGCGGGAGCGAAGAAAACCCGCAGACAGTTTGCTCGCACTCCAAAGCCACCAGTCCTATGTCCTGATCGCAGTGAAGGAAATTTATCACGGCCAGCCTTGACGACACGGCAGACCTTACAGCTGTCGTTCTTACAAACATTTGAAGTAGGAGGGAAAAAAAAAAAAAAAGCGTTCGGGACCACAACCCACACCGCCTCTGAACTCCTTCCGCCCGTCGAAGAGAAAAGAGGGGCCGCTAAGTTACGCCGTAAGCTGACACGTGGCGCGTGAATCCATTCTCCGAAGCTGCCGACGATTTGACGGAGCAGGCGGCCCCCGTGCCGCGGGAAAACCCTTCCATCCGTAATCATAGCGCTTTCTAAGTTCTAGCCTCTCAGCCGCCGGGGGATGAGGACGATCTACTGGAATCGGGGCTTGTAGACGAACGTGCCCGATGGGATGGGCTCGAACTTGGGCTGCGCCTGCCCTCCAAACTTCGCCATGGCCTTCTTGAACGCGTGATCCAAGTCGTTGATCAGATCGCCCACGCACTCTATTCCCACGCCCAGCCGCACCAGATCGTCCGGAAGGCCCCTGGACTCGCGGATGGCCTTGGGAACCGCAGCGTGCGACATGAAGCACGGCAGGCTGATCAGCGACCCCACGCTGCCGAAGCTCACCGTCTTCTGGAACACCTCGACGCCGTCCGCCACCAGCTTGGACAGCTCCACGTCTCCCGTGACGAAGCACAGCACCGATCCCGCGCCGGAGCACTGCTTGAAGTGCAGCTCCCGGTCGGGGAAGCCGGGCAGCCCCAGGTAGAGCACCTTCTTCACCAGCGGGTGCTTCGCCAGCCACTCCGCGATGACCTGCGCGTTCTCCTGAGCCTTCTCCACTCGCAAAGACAATGTCTGCATGCCCCTCAGGAYCAGGAAGCTGTCGARCGGGCTCAGRCACGCGCCCTCCGCGGACTGGAGGAAGTGGATGTCCTTGGCGAGCTGCTCGCCCCTGACCGCCAGGAAGCCGCCCATCACGTCGCTGTGCCCAGACATGAACTTCGTCAGCGACTCCATCACGATGTCCGCGCCGTGATCCAGCGGCCGCGAGAGCGCCGACGACATGATGCTGTTGTCCACCACGACCAGCGCGCCGCTCCGGTGCGCGATCTCGGCGATGGCGGCGATGTCCGTGATCTGCAAGAGAGGGTTCGTCGCGATCTCCAGGAACACGAGCTTCGTCTTCGGCGTCACGGCCCCGCGGATCTCGTCCAGATTGCTGGTGTTGGCGCGCTTCACCGTCACGCCCCACCGGGTGACGAGGCTGGTCAGCAGCCTGTCGGTCCCGCCGTAGATGTCGTCATCCGCCACGATCTCGTCGCCAACCTCCACCATCTGCATCACCGTCGTCAGAGCCGCCATTCCCGTCGAGAAGCAAAACGCGCGGTCCGCGTCGTGAAGCCGAGCAATGTGCTTCTCCAGCGTCGATCTCGTCGGGTTGTCGAACCGCGAATACAGAAACGACCCAGCCTTCGTCACGGAGGGAAGCTTGAAAGTGGCCGTCAGGTAAATGGGAGCATTCTTCGCACCGTAAGGATCGTTCTCGTCCTGGAAATGGAGAGCGCGCGTAGCGAACGCCAACCCATGGTGGTCGTACTTGCAGCCCCGCACCTGCACGCCGTTAGCGTCTCCCAAACCCATACCTACCCGCTCTCTTATTTTTTTGTCAATCAACCAAACAAATACCTAATAGCGCACGACTCGCCAACCACCGGCAGCTCTCCGCTACGGGCGGCAATCAACCAACCAACCAACCAAATAAATAGCAGGACTCGCCAACCAGCGGCAGCAGCACTGCTACGGGCCGAGCTGATGCCGCGATCTACCCCAGGGTCCGTATCTTCTCAGCTTGCGGTAGGCGAAGCACGAACAGGAAGCAAGGAACTACGTCAGTGCAAGGGGAAGGGGATGGTCACCGTGCACTGCGATTAGCTCGCCCTCCTATGCACGGAGCACGCTCCTGTAAATCGACGCAGCTTCGTTACACCGACGGTATCATTCATACATGTAGTGGGTGGCCTGCAGTGCTTACGATTCAGTTCAGTGACACGAAGCGCAACCTGTGGAGCAGCTCGGAGAGGGAGCGAGAGAAACAAGCAAGCGGAGAACATGGGAGGGGTTGCCGGGCACCCGGACTGCGCAACGCTCTGCCTTCGGTCACGACCACTGCATTACTTATAGGGCTGGTCGAACGGAAGACCCGCGCGATAATCGCACCGGCCTGAAGGAAACTGTGGGTGGCACCCTGACGGACGGCAGTACGAGAGGATGGTAAGAAGCGCATGCTGTTGGGCCGATTTTCAGCATGGGACTCGCTGCACTACTCTGCAAATGTCCAATATGAGAAATGAAATGAATCTTCTTCCGCTAGAACATGGAAAGATGCACCTCCATGTTTTTTTTTACGGTTTTTTTTTTTCTTAACTAATCTATGCACTTCTCTCAATCTTCTTTGACCTGTATAGGTTCGTGCACGTGGATAGTAGAGTCCGTGCAGCCATAACGGTGTACGAGTATAGGGGCGAGTACCTACTTCCTGCAACCGGTCGCAGGCCGGGGGGCACTGCATGAGAGCAGCATCCTCACGTGAAGACACCTGGACGAACGAGCGGCCGGGGAGAACAGGCGAGAGAAGAAACAGAGTGCCTCGCTCTCTCCACCACGCAACGCTCTTCATGCATTTTTTTTGGATGCGTTTGGGACCCTCTACGTTCATCATTATGTATGTAATGTTGGACTCGTTCTGGATCAGAAAGCATGCAAATGCACGTTGACAGTTGTGTATGTAGTGGAGCGAGGCCCAAAGGAAAAGGGAAGGGAAGGGAANNNNTGAGTCTCTGACTCGCCCGCGTGGCTCGGCTAACCCGGTTTTGTCTTTATTTTCCCGTTCTGGAAAATCTCGTCGCCAATGCTACTCTTTAGCCGCCCTCACCCATTTAGCACGTGTGGCGAAATCGTACACCCCTGAACTGGTAGTAAGCACATCTGCGTTCGAATCCTCCTGTTGAACCAGATTTGGGAACGAAATGACACAATGCACCTGGTCCGCAAACCCTCCAAATGCATGTAGAGTGTTGTTTTGTGGAGCGAGCCACTCAGAGTCATTTCATTTCATTAAAATTCAGAGTAGTGGAGCGAGGGCCTGACTGAACTGCACCCCTCTTTCGTCCGGGACGGACGCTACTGGGCCCTTCAAAAAACTGCCAGTTGTCACTACCTCAGTGGAAACAAAAAACGTTGTTGCGTTCTTCCTTTTCATCATCTAATAATAGGCCCTGGGGTTGGTCGCACGGCTCGGCGTTCGTCCTGATGCGTTCTAATAGTAGGCCCTGGGTTAACTTCAGTAGAATCACAAAAACGAGTTATTGAAAAAAAAAAAAAAAAAAAAAAAAAAAAAGGAGTTATAATTGCACTATATATGGCAGTTGCACTTCGGGCACCCTTCCTGGGCAGAAAGCTGGGTTGTATACTTTGCCCGAAATGCAATTTGAAACTATATCTTGGTCCATAGTGCAAATTATAACTCGTTTTTGTGACTCCCCACGTAGTTTCCCCGAAATGGGGGTAAGGACCTGTTTGCACTACTTCACAAACGCAAGTCTGGCGAGTAGGCGCCTCCTTGCACCAATGTCGAAACATCACGAAATTCGACATATGTCAGGAAATTTTCGACATTCCCTCTTTCGATAGAAAACCCCTCTTCGCCACACCGCATGTCCAAGTGAAGAACTCACGAGTCGTATGCACAAAAGAGACGAACTGGGGTGAAGATAGGACAAGCGTTGTTGCGTTCTCTTTTTCGACATTCGGGCAAGAATTCGACATCCCATCGCAGGACTGTTGAAAATGTCCAAGTTGCAGGCCTGAAGTGGAAACGAGCCCGTCTGGAGAGGAGGTGTAGAAACCCTTTCCCTGACAGCTCCTGAATTTTTTTTGCATCTCGAATTTCGACATGCCGTGTGGCGAGGAGAAAATGTCAAAAAATCAGTTTTTAGACATTGGTGTGGCGAGGCCCCTCCCCAGCCTTGGCGAATGAAAAATATAGGGGCTCGCCACATAGGCTTTGGAAACGTGCAAAATCGAGGCCGTGTCTTCGCCACACAGCCTTTTGAAAAGAGTTCTTTCGAAAAAGTTTCCAAAGGTGTCAGATTGGCTGCGTCCAAAGTCATTTCTGCCAATTGGTTGAAACCGCCGTGAGGGTCGCCAGGACTCTAGATAGCAAGGATAGTTAAACCACCAGTATCTCGCCCAGCTATTAAAAAAAGTCGCGGCCGTTAACGCGCCGCGACTTTAGGAGGTCGCCCGTCCCCACGACCAGTACTGTAGTGTTTTAACTCTGTATGAAAAAAAAAAAAAAAAAAAAGAAAAAAAAAAAGAACAAGAACAACGCCTTTTTCTTTCAAAGAAAGGAAAGCAGAGGATTGTCTTGAAAATACAAGGG